GCGGAAGTCCACAGGTGGCAGTGACAGCTGCTGGAAACTTGCCTATCACCCGAAAACTAGCCATTCAAACGGATTCTCTTAACCAAATGTAGCTTCTGGTCTTTCCTATAGTTAAAGATGGGCATCTCTCATATGGGCTTATGAAGCCTCACGGTCCCTAGTCACCAACTCAGTGACCTTCCTGAGGCCAGCAATCCCAGGGATGCTTTCTGTCTGCGGTTTACATCGGACTCTTGTCCACTTCAGAACAGACTGGAGCACAGGGGGAGCCAAGCCCTGGGACATCAAGTCCACCAGTCCACAGAACGTATGCGCCCGGTTGTCAGGAAGGTCACACCTATGTTTTCCACATCCATGCCTTTCCCCCAAGGCTTCTCATGTTCATATGCACAAGGATAGAATGCAAGGCTGACCAGAGCCTGTCTTCTGGGTAAGGGTTGTCACGGGTGTGCTGCTCTTTAGGGACAAGAGTGATGACACTGGTGTCACCCTTTTCTTTTTTCTTATTTTTCTTTTTGCCTTTTTGCCTTGTTTGAGACAAGGTAGCCCTAGCTGTCCTGGAACTAGCTCTGTAGACCAGGCTGTCCTCAAACTCAGAGATTCAACTGTCTCTGCCTCCCGAACTGCTGTTCTTGGTCTTCCGACATGAAATAATGATGGTTGGGACTCTCAGGTTGCTGGCTCGGCCTGTCTCAGTCTGGATAAATTACAACTCCAAGGGGTTGTTGCACTATAGGCCATGTGTATGTGCATGTGTGTATGGTGTGCAAGTATATATGCATGTTTGACGTGTCTGAACTCATGTATGAATGTGTATGCATGTGGGTGCTTGCAGTTGGAGGCCCGAGGTTGGTGTTAGGAATTAACCTTGATCACCCTTCTGCCTCATTCACTGAGGCAGGGTCTTTCAGTCAAACCAGAGCTTGCCAATAATACGACTATTCTCACTGGACAGCTTTCCCCGTCTCTGCCTCCCATGGCTGGAGTTACAGCCACTCACTGCATATTTACGCGGTTTCTGGGACTCCGGAGTTAAGTTCTCCTCACATTTGTGCAGCAGCCCTTTACCCACTTAGCCATCTCCCCAGACACCCCATCCCAGGCCTCCTCCCAGCCTCCACCTGTCCCCCACCTCCCCACTTATTTCCATCATTTATCTTGTCCTAATGAGTTTCACATTGTCCTCTCCATCCCCCATGTTGACTCAGGGCCAGGGCACTGGACGTGCTAGGTAAGTACTTTACCAGTGAGTCACATTCCCAGCCCTTAGCGATTTGAGACAGGGTCTTCCTGTGCAGCCCAGGCTGCCCTTAGACTTGTAATCCTCCTGCCTCAGCCTCCTGGATGCTGGACTCAAAGGTGTGCGCCACCACACCCGGTTTAGGGTGGTAGATGTTTGTTAAATGCTTTTTCTGATTCAGGTAAGATGATCGAGGGTCACATCATGTCCGTGTTTGATTAATGAAATGGGACTTGAGCCCCTGTGGGCTCTCTTTGTTCTGTTAATATGGAGTGCTGCTATGTTGGTTGTGTTTCATCTATAGAGTTCTTGAAGTCCTGGGAAAAATCCTCCTGGGTCATGGTGCATAATCCTTAAAAATCGCAGTGGGATTTTTCGGAGAATTTTTTTAAAGACTTGTCTATTTTTATTGTATGTGTATGAGTGTTTTACCTGCATGTGTGTATGTGCACCACAGGTGCCTTCAGAAGAGGGTATTGGATCCCCTGAAACTGGAGTTACAGTTATGCGCTGCCATGTGGGTGCTGGGAATTGAACCCGAGTCCTCTGGAAGAACAGCCAGTGCTCTTAATCAGCCTTTGCTGAGAATTTCTGCATTTACATTCAAAGGGGGATTTTTATAAAGAGTTTTCTTTCTGTGGTCATTGCTGTTGAATTTTGAGAGTTCTCAGTATGTTTTATAAAGACTTCATTTTGTTCTTTATTTTTCAAGAGAGGGTTTCTCTGTGTAGCCCTGGCTATCCTGGAACTTTCTGTAGACCAGGCTGGCCTCAAACTCACAGAAATCCACCTGCCTCTGTCTCCTGAGTGCTGGGATTTAAAGGCACTCATTGCCACCACCCGGGCAAGACTTTGTTTTGTAATTGCTATCTATACACGATACTTGGTAGACATATATCTTGATAACACTGCCTTCCGTTCTGTGGCCAGGAGGTTTTAATTTTGACAGTATTCACCTCACTTACCTCCTCATTATCTGATCCCAGGTCACAGAGGTTTTCTCCCATCCTTTCTTCTAGAGTTTTTAGCTTTAAGTTTTACATTTAAGTCTGACTTAGGTCTAGGAATGTGTCTGCGTTGGTAGAGTGCTTGCCTAGCACACGCAAGGCCGAGTCCAGTCTTCGGCACCAGAGGCTGATGGTGCAGACATCTGCATCCCAGGACTCAGGAAGTGAGGACAGGAGGATCATAAATTCAACAGCTCTGAGATCAGCCTGGCCCTGGGAGATAGCTCAGTCAGTCAAGTGCTTGTCACCCCAGTGTGTGAATCTGAGTTCAATCCCAAGAACCCACTGGAAAAACCAAGGGACACTGGAAGGACAATGCAGGACACTGTAGGACACTGTAGGACACTGAGGCATATTCGTAATTCTAGGTGGGATGTGGAGACAGGAGGAGCCTGGAGCTTGCTGGCCAGCCATTTTCTCCTGTTCAGGAAGCTCCCGGCTCAATAAAAGACCCTTCCTCAAAAGATGCGGTGGAAAGCAATTAGGGAGACATCTGATGTTGACCTTTTGGCCTCAACATGCACACACACACACCATGCACACACACATATGTACGCACACACACACAATTCATTTGAAATTTTTTAGTTTAGTTTTTTTTTTGGGGGGGGGATAGGGTCTCCTGGGGAGCCCAAGTTAGCTTCGAACCAGCTATGTATCCACGAATGACATGGAGCTAATCCTCTTAGCTACACCTTCCCTGTGCTCAGATTGCAAGTGTGCACTACCACACCCAGGTTTTTGTTTTGTTTTTTGAGACAGGATCTCACTTTGTAGTCCAGACTAGACTTAAACTCACAAGAGTTCTCCTGCCTCAGCTTCCCCAGTTTGCTGCCACACCCTAACAAGTTGTTGTGGGGAAAATTGTTTGTTTTTTCATATTATTATTATTAGTAGTAGTATGTGCGTCCTCAAGTGCACATGCACATTCGTGCACACATGTGAATATGAGCACACAAATGCCACAGAACATGTGTAGAATCTGGAAGACAACTTTTTTCCATCATAGATCCTGAGGCTCGACTCAGGTCCTATTTTTGTGTTACTGATACCAAGCACCCCGATGAAGGCTTCCGTAGGGAGGAGAGTCTATCTGCCCACTATGATCAACCGGCCAAGGATGCATTAGAAGGATTTAGGTGCTCTAGGCAGGGTATACTCAGATGCCCAGCAGCACGAGCAATCCGTATGTCTTCTTAGAGGGCTGGCCCAATTCCCCTAGAATATGTTGAATTCATCTCCTTTTGTCCTGAAAGAACCCCCTGCAGCATGCCACACACCCAGGAGCTCTCTGCCTTCCTGCCAGAGGGATGTATATTAGTCTGGGAGTGTTTAGTCCACATCCACTTGAGGGATAGCCCTTCTGTCACAGGATTCCAGGAAATGTCTCTCAGCCTTCCGAAGCCCATACACAAAAATCCTTTCATCAACACAGTCCCCAGATGCTTCCACTGCATGAATTCACAGTCTTTCAGGGACTGGCCTTGCTGCCATGATTCCATGCTGCCATCCCTGCCTGTGCTGCCCTGCTCCAGCCTAGGTTCCTGTAGTCCAATGCTGGCACAGGGTGAAAAGTGTGGCCTCCAGATGTGGCTGGGGGAAGAGCAGAGAGCGAGAGAGCCCGGTGTGAGAGCATTCTTAGCTCAGATATTCCTTGTCAGATGTCACAGGTAGCTGGTGGTCCACACAATCTCAAAGGCAAAGAAGTTGGGTCAAGTGGGTCCTAAAAGTAGGAAATGGGGCAACCACTCAGCTGTCCACCGAGGATGGTTAAGGGTTAAGGCTAAACTAGGTGTGGTGGTCTACCTAATTCCAGCACTCTGGAGGCCGAAGCAGAGACTGGAGGATCTCTGAGTTTGGTGGTAACCTGGTCTACAGAGTGAGTTTTATGACAGCCAGGGCTACACAGAGAAACCCTGCCTCAAACACACACACACACACACACACACACACACACACACACACCACATACACACAAGAAAGAGAGAAAGAAAGGAAGGAAGGAAGGAAGGAAGGAAGGAAGGAAGGAAGGAAGGAAGGAAGAAAAAGAAAAAGGAAGAAAAGAAAAGAAAAAGTTAGAAGTTAGTCTGGGCCTGGGAGGTGGCCTTGTGTGGTTTTGACCGTGGTCCAGTGACTGATGGAGATGGCAACACCAGAGACTTGGGAAGAGAGCTAGAAAGAAATGTAGGGTCAGCCACGGCCTGGGTCGGAAGCGTTGCTGCACATCGGTCCATGTGTGAGTGTCCGATGGAGAGTGGTATTGCTAAACCTAAGGGTAAGGGGGCAGTCCCAGAACCGTCAGAGAAAGAGATGAGGCGCCCATAGCCTGTTGCAGAATCCAGAACTGCTGTCTTCCTACTTGGAAGGACACCGAACCAATGCAGGAGTATAGGTTCCGCCATGTTCTCCAAGACTTTTGGAGAGGCGCTCCCAACAGGTCATTTGGTGGCCTGAAAGGTCCTAAGCATCTCCTGGCCGGTTGGCTGGCTCTGGCGAGTCTGGTCCTGCCAACCTGCCCTCCGCGTAAGTTTTTCGAAGCACAAATTATCCCGGATCACACAAAACACCAGCCGCTGCTGGGCCTGTTTTTGCCAGTCACTTCATTCAATTCTCTGTTGAAATCAAGCATTCCTTCCTGGGCCTGTTTCCTAGAGTGCAGAAATCCAAGCCGGGACGGGGCGGGCTGGGAGTGCTGGGGGCGGGACTCGTGCAGCTCCTGACTGCAAATCCCAGGGCTCAGCACCCAGCCGGAGCTCATTTAGCTATCGCGCCATGGGGAACGACCACGCGGTCCACGACGCGGGGCTGTTGGCCGGGCGTGGGCCAGAGACCCTGGGGACTGACGCCGGGCTTGGGGGCGCGGGCGCGGCGGCGCTGGTGGGGGGCGTGCTGCTCATCAGCATGGTGTTGGCGGGGAACTCGCTCGTGTGCGTGAGCGTGGCCTCCGAGCGCACTCTGCAGACACCCACCAACTACTTCATCTTGAGCCTGGCGGCCGCCGACCTCCTCCTCGCAATACTAGTGCTGCCTCTCTTTGTCTACTCCGAGGTGAGCCTCCATGAGCTCGGTGCCTTTGCTCCGCTCCCCTCCGCCCCTCCTCCCCTCCCCCTGTCCCCGGCCCCAGAGCGGTTCTGCCGCTTGGACCTTCAGCAACCTTGAGCCAGGGCGTTTGCAGGGACTCCAGGTCTCCTCACTCCTGACTGCTCACCGTCTCCCGCTTTCCAGAATCCAGCGCCAGTTTTGCGTCTGTCGGTCACCCTACCATTCTCTGGATCCCTTCCTATTCTCTGTGATCTGCTGACCTAGAGAGGGCTTGTGTCCCTGGAACCAAGGATCTCAGATACTGTCTTTCCCATTGAAGTCTCTGGTCCCACTCCAGAAATACTGTACCCCTAACCCCTGCCAAAAGCCAGCTAGACCGACAGGCAAGTGTGCAGACACACATCTCTGCCGACGACCACTGCCTTTTGGGGACACCCCACCCCAGAGAGAGAGAGACAGACAGACAGACAGACTTGCCAGCCTGTGCCAGCTCATCCTGTGGAAGAAGCCCAAAGTCTGTAGCCACTCAACTGCCAGGAGCTTGGAGCAGCGAAGGGTGTAGTCAGAGAGACCCGGGCAGGATAGTCAGAACCTTTTGGAGACTCCGGGACAGAGTCACCCCAGACCAGGTCTGGTTCTTAGGTGTGTCTGCTGTGGTGCCAACTCTTCTCTCTGTACGAGGTTTGGCCAGAGAAAAGCTGCTTAGGACAGGAATGGGGACATAGTGGCCTGGACTGGGGGATGGGGGGATGGGCTGCATGGGATTTCTAAGGAGACACTGAAGTCTGGAGCTAGGGCAGAGGCCAGCAGCCACGCTTGACCCCCGGTCCTCCCCGAAGGACTGACGTCACTGTGATGATTCTTAAGCTCCTAATCGTCCCAAATCAGTATGAAGGGATTTGGGGATGGGTGGGTTGAGATGGCTGTATGCTCCTTCGCCCTTGAAGAAGAACACGCTATGCAGATTCACAGAGAGCCCTATGAAGTCTTTGTACTTTTAGAACACATCTGTCCTCAGAACAATTGTCATGTGTATACCGTCCAGCAAGTGAAGGGACCCATCCAAAGTCCCACAGCAGTGACAGTTGAAGCAGGCAGGATAACTCGTAGCTGAGTCTTGGAGGTGGGTAGGATTTGTGTTTAGACCCCTAAGGGCTCCTCCCCCCCAGCAGATGGTATCAATCCCCCCGGGGTCTGCCCCAAGCTTCTCACCTAAGCAAAGGAGACCTGAGTCAAGAGGCAGGTCTGTCTGCCCCCTCTGTCTCCTCCAACACAAGCGTCCCCCACTGTCTCAGGATCACATTGGGCTTGTATGCCCCCCCAATCCCCTCTAATACACACCCATTGCCTCTCCCCCCCCCAAGAAGAATGGGGGTCAGAAAGTCAGCGGCTGAAAGATCAGGTCTTGTGCTTCTTTTCTGCAACCTCTGCGTGCCTAGGTCCAGGGTGGCGTGTGGCTGCTGAGCCCCCGCCTCTGTGACACCCTCATGGCCATGGACGTCATGTTATGCACTGCCTCCATCTTCAATCTGTGCGCCATCAGCGTGGACAGGTGGGTATCCCAGACGGCCCCCCTCCCACCCCCACCTCCCAGTCACCTGCCCAACTCGGCGCCTTCACCATGCCTGTGTCCCTCTAGGTTCGTGGCTGTGACGGTGCCGCTGCACTACAACCGTCAGGGCCAGCGCCAGCTGCTGCTCATCGCTGCCACATGGTTGCTGTCCGCCGCGGTGGCTGCGCCGGTGCTGTGCGGCCTCAACGATGTGCCCGGCCGCGATCCAGCCGTGTGCCGCCTGGAGGACCGCGACTACGTGGTCTACTCGTCCGTTTGTTCCTTCTTCCTGCCCTGTCCGCTCATGCTACTACTTTACTGGGCCACTTTCCGCGGCCTGCGGCGCTGGGAGGCAGCCCGGCACGCCAAGCTGCACAGCCGTGCACCGCGCCGACCCAGCGGCCCCGGCCCGCCGGTGTCCGACAGTGCTCCGGGCCCCTTCTTCCCAGACTGTCTGCCCCCCTCACCCAGCCTCCTGCAGAGCCCCAGCGGCTCCAGCCGGCCTGAGCCAGATCCCTCTCAGGGACTCTGCGGTCCGGAGTGTCCGCTCCCCGATGCAGGGCTCCCGCCAGCGCCAGCGCCAGCGCCGCCTTCCCGCAGAACGAGGGGCGCCAAGATCACGGGAAGGGAGCGCAAGGCAATGAGAGTCCTGCCCGTGGTAGTCGGTGGGTTCCTGCCCTGGGGTTGTAGAGAGGGGTCCCAGGTGGAGGGGTCCCGGGCTCCGCGAGGCGGGAGGTGGGAGAGGTCTAGATTGAAAGGGTGAAAGGTGGGTGGGGAGTCCCGGGTGAGGGACCTCCAGCGCAAGAGTACAGGCTCACGCCGCCCACCCCCAGGGGCCTTCCTGATGTGTTGGACGCCTTTCTTCGTGGTGCACATCACGCGGGCGCTGTGTCCGGCTTGTCTCGTGCCCCCTCGCCTGGTCAGTGCCGTCACCTGGCTAGGCTATGTCAACAGTGCCCTCAACCCCATCATCTACACCGTCTTCAACGCCGAGTTCCGCAGGGTCTTCCGCAAGTCTCTCTGTCTCCGCTGCTGAAAAGGTCACTGGTGTCCTGAGGTCAAGCAGATCCAAGCCTGTGTGCGGAGTACGCTGACGCTCATTAGTCTGATTAAACTAATTATTTCCTAATCATTTACGAAGGCTGGGGGTCGGGGAGGAGCAAGGAAAAGAGGAGGGGCTTTGTTTTGTTGTGTTTTGGCCTGGATGTTGGGACTGGCTAACTCCTGCCTTTGAGGATGTTGCCAGCTCAGTTCTAGGCGGCTTCCGGTCTCTTCGGTCCCAGGAGAGGCGGAGGAACTTCAGTTGGCTTAGTTTAACCTCAACATGTAAAGTGACCAAGTGACTAGCTGGGAGAGGAGCTGGAGGAATTTCCTGGGCGGCCGCTGGGTCCTGGATCCTGTCCAGGGCAGCTCTTGCTCCTTGGAGAGCTAGGCAGGGAGGGCTCTGCTGTTATTGAAGGGGAAGGAGCACCATTTTGGGAGTTTTCTTGAGTAAATAGCTTCCTGCCGGCCTCTCACCAGGAGATACCCAAATCTCCCCGTTTCACTAAGGTGCCCTCCCACTCAGGCCATCTTTACCCCATGGATGTCCAGCAGCAGGGTTCAAGGCGGGACTGAGGGACCCAAGCAGTTCCTGCGCTCTTTGGCCAGGGCCCATCCCATCAAGAGATGACTCCTGGCAGGGGCGGCTCACCCTAACACTACCCCCTCCTGTCATGGGAGAGATGTAAGTCAGGACTGCTGAGGGGGTTCTAAGATTGGGGTTCCACGCCAACAGCAACAGGCACAAAGTGTCACACTCTGTTCTCAGGATTGAGAAATGACAAGCTATGAGATCTACAGCAGTTAAAATAGTCCTTGTTGGGTAAGGAGCAATTAATTCCCCAGGACCGAGGGTGCTATGGCCTCACTGGGCTCTGGCGGCTCGATGATCCCTGCTGGCCTCTGTTGATGTCTCAGGACTAGCAAGCTCCTGGGGGGGGGGGTCAACGGAGTCATGGGTTCATATTTGTCCACACACTGTCTAACGTTAGTGGAATTGGGGCTCCCTTAAGTTTTACCCCTCAAGACCCTAGGATACCAAATGTGCCTGCCCTTTGCTGACTCCCACTGGAAAGTTCTGCAGATAAAAATGTACGGCTGAACTCATGTGAGTGGGGCAGAAGTCACTGGAAGCTTGATGCAGTTTGGGGAACTGAACCCTAAGTGCCCATGTCCTGAGACCCTTTGAGTGTCTTCCTTAGAGGAAAGGGAAAGAATAAATTGAATCAATTCCACTGCTCTCGAACGGTCACCCTCTCAAAACCATCTTGGTGTTCTGGGACCTTCACACAGTGCCACTCCCTGGGGGGGAGACATCCTGGCTGCCCCCTGCGGGCTGTCCTGTGGTTAGCAGTGACTGGCCATTTTCTTGTCAGTGTGCAAACTGAGCTGTGCTGTGTAGCCTCAGCCTACTCTGCATGGCCTTGGTGGTTGGTTACAGCTGAGAGCTACTCCGCCACCAGAAAGCACTTCCGGGAAGAAGGGCAAGGCCCAGGGTGGTCATGAAGACCTTACTCAATGGGAAGGGCCTCAGGCCTGAGGCCTCACTGATAAGCCTTGGGGAGAAGGTGGGGACCCCAGAGAATTGGGATCTCCTTATTTATATACATGTCCCACCCTCAACTATCCCTGTAGTTCACATTGAGGGGCCTCAGGGATCTGTTGGGTACAGAAAGGGCCTTCTGGTAGGAGGGGGAACCATTCTTGGTTCAGGGCAGGGGATAGGGTTGATATTCTTACACACACCAAGGTGTAAAGCTGGTGTGTATCTCACAGGAACTGTTTTAGAAGTAGGTGTAAGAATTGGTAAGTCTCTAAGTTCATCCTAAACCTGAAGGCTCTCCTCTAGACCCTAGCTAAGTCTGCATATCCCCTACATGGTGCGGGGGAGCCTCAGGCCCCTGTTATGAGTTGGGGTCTTAACTCAGGAGGGCATTTCTGAAAAATTAGAAGCTTCCAGAATATGCTTCTCTAACAGTGTTCTTTGTCAGTAGGGAACACCAGGTCTCATTCTCAAATCAGCCAAGTCCAGTACTAAGTATGAGTCTCCCCCAAAGGTCTCCACTCCCTTACCTGCTCCCAGGGACGGTGTCTAGGATGGCCCTGGGTGATGAGAAGAGAGAGTGGAGAAAAACAAGGCAACAACCAGGCCTGTGCATGCAGAAGCCCTGGTCATAGGCCAGACATTTCAATGAGCATCAAACATGATGCCCTGGAGATTCATGGGAGTCCTTCAGCTGCTCATGGCACTGCTTGGACACAGCAGAGCTGAGAGGATGTGGAGGCAAACCTTGCTAAGAGGCCTCAGGTTCTCCTGAAACCACTTCCACTAGAGAAAGACAGGTTGAGACTTCCTTGGCTGTGAAGGCCGTGAAGGTAGATCAAGAAGAGGATTGCTGCAGGCCTGTATCACCCCAGCAGGACACGGGAGTGCACAGCTCACACTCATACAATCAGGGCATGGCAGAAACCCTCTGGCCATTGGAATATAAAGTGGGCTTTGTAATGGCATCATCCAGGTCGGGGATGGGGGCTTTATTTACAACTTTATTAACAGATAAAACAGATATGTACACGTGGCGTAGGGCACCCCCACGGGTAACGGGACACTCGTGATCCAGGGATGAAAGAGCACCACAATAGGCCAGAGGCCCTGGGCTGTGGCAGGGCCCCGTTCTGAACCCACCAGCATTCCTTGGTCTCTGGCAGGAGTTCCTTTCAAAGGGCAGAGTCTGTTTGTTAGTAACTTGTCCGGCAAGTTTCCCACGGCCTCGCTTCTCAGCAGCCCCCATAGTCACCAGAGGGCCTGAGCCTGTGATGGCCTCACAGCAGAGCAGGGAGAGGCTTGGCTCAAACAGCAACTTTTTCTATTACACTTTCTTCCACGTGGACTTCATCAGCCTGGACAGTGACAGATGTTGACTGGCCACAGACGTGCTGATGGTCTTTCCAGTCCTGGAAGGTAGGACACCCATGTTAGCAGGAAGGACCACAGGGACCCACTGTGGTACAGAGCAACATATCACCTGTAGATGGGCCCTGGACTTCACCATGAGGTGGCTGTGAGCTGTCAGAGTGAGGGAACGTTCAGATACATGAGGATAACAAGACTGAATGTTTACGCATCCATGTATTTGTTGTTGTTAGAATTGTTTTGTTTGGAGACAGGATCTCTCTATTATTAGGCTCTGGCTATCCTGGAACTCACCATGTAGAGCAGGCTAGCCTCAAACTCAGAGATCCTCCTGCCTCTGTCTCCCCAGTGCTAAGATTAAAGGTGTGGGCCACCATACCCTGCTGCTGTTAGGATTTAAATGAAAAGTTGGACACAGTGGTTCATGCCTGTAATCTCAGTACCTGGGAGGCTGAAACATGAGAATAGCCACAAGTTCGAGACCAGCCTAGACTAACAGTATAAACAAACAAACAAATAAATTTATATGTGATATTGCCACCCACCATGGTATTCATAACAGTGAAGATGATACTATCTGTATACACACACACACACACACACACACACACACACACACACACACACACACACGAGAGCAGAAACAAGCACATCCTGAAGGTGAGAGGTCATCTCAGGAAAGGCCTGCCTTATGTTCATAACAAAAAATTGTCCCAAGTAATAAAATCCCATAGCTGTAGCAGTGTGGGTGAGCAAACTGTGTGTGTGCATCAGGCCCAGACAGCCACCAGACCCTGGCAGCCACTACACAACTAGACACTGTTCCCCATAACTAGACACTGTTCCCCATAACTAGACACCGTTATCCGTAACTGGTATGAACTGGCAGAGTGCCTTGGAGCTGCGGACCCTGGCCAGTTCCCCAGGGAATCCTAGATGCTTTCTTCTGTGAGGTGAATGAAGGGGTCATTCATGGATGAGGAAGCCCAAGGCACATGCCAGTGTCCACCTGAAGCAACAAGCAGGCCTCCGTCCAGGGCTTTGGGCAAATATCCAAGACTGATTCTTTTTTTTTTTTTTTTTTTTTTTTTGGGTTTATCGAGACAGTGTTTCTTTTCTCTGTGTAACAGTCCTGAATGTCCTGGAACTTGCTTTGTAGACCAGGCTAGCCTTGAACTCACAGATATCTGCCTCTGCCTCCTGATTGTTGGGAAGGAATAAAGGCATGTGCCACCACCACCCAGCAAGACTGATTCTTGAAACTTCAAATTCTGAATAAAACAGACAGACAAACAAACAAAAACAACAAACAAATGCAAACTATTCTTTCAAACGTCATTGTTTGAGGCCGGGTGGTGGTGGTGTACAACTTTAATCCCAGCACTTGGGAGGCAGAGGCAGGCAGATCTCAGTGAGTTCTCGGCCAGCCTGGTCCAGGACAGTCAGGACTTTCACACAGAGAAACTCTCTCTCGAAAACTAAACAAACAAACAAAAAACCCAACAACAACAACAAAAACTACTTCACTGTTTGAAAATGCTCAGCTCTGACCAAGAAAGCAGGTGCTAAAGCTTGACCAAACTTTTTCAGAGAAGCCTTTCTGTATGGACATTCCAGATTCTCTATAGCACTGGAGCAAAAAAGCCTGGCACTATGGTGGGAAAGACACACCTTCACTCTAGAGTTCCTGGAGACAGGTCATGTCATGTGGGCAACGTGCATGCAGCATGTGTGTGTTGAGGGCACAAGCCATTCCTAACCCTCAGCTGATACTTAAGGATACCCTGCGGCTCCTGCAGGTGCCTGCACACTCTTGTGCACAATCTGCAGATTCCCACACATCCTCTCCTGTGTATGCCAAGCCCAGCATAACTAAAACTTTAACACTGCTTTTCGAAAGTTAAGCTGTCAGTCTAGGGATGGAATCCCTCAGCACTTGGGATGCTATGGCAAGAAGGGTCACAAGTTAAAGGCCAGCCTGGGATACATAGGAAACCTTGTGTCAAAAAAGAAAAAACAAGCTGGCCGTGGTGGCGCACCCCTTTAATCCCAGCACTCAGGAGGCAGAGCCAGGAGGATCTCTGTGAGTTCAAGGCCAGCCTGGTCTACAGAGTGAGATCTAGGACAGGCTCCAAAACTACAGAGAAACCCTGTCTTGGAAAACAAAAAACTAA